TTATTGTCAGGATGAGGTTCATACTTGTGCACTATCTGTTTGGTTAACAGATAACTTAACCTGGTATGACAGACCCACCGATTTGTTAAATAAATACATCAGTCCTAGTGCCACCTTTAACCTAAGCTTAAGCCCGAATATAGTCCATTACTGCACCATTTTCTCTCATCAATCGAAGCCACTTCTTTGTTCCGATCATTTTTGCTCCAGTTCATGCTTATACAAGGTGATTCCCTTCATACAATTTTTTTCATCATAGAAATCACATACTGAAGAATCTTTTATATCGAATGTTCTAAGCATGTTTCATGCTGACGAACAACTGTGAAGAAACTCGATGGAATCATTAATTTCCTCATTATTGCTGCATTACTTCAATTGCATCACAATAAAAATAACCTTTAGTACCTCTCTGTTCCAACGACTCAAGTACCACATAAACAATATCTATTTATTCGATTAATGCATACTTCAACTAGATTGGTGATAATATTAATGAAACAATAATTATGATAATGAAAAATAAGAAGTGAATAACTTGAAAATAACTACAATAAATTTATCCAAGCAAAATACATATATGAAAGATACATAAAATATCACAACTTCCACACTTGTAACATACGTTTTCTATTGATACATAGAACTGTTTTGACGATATTCTTCAGTTCTAAGAATTCGAAGAGACAAACAATCTCCACTGAACTATGAGCAGAAATATCAGTTACGCTTCTGCAAGACGTCCATAGAAATGCTCAGAGTGATAATTTAATCTTTAATGATTTTATCACTTTTCTGATGTTACCTTAAAATTCACGAATCCAGGAGTCTTTTCGACTGCCTAATCGAAGTCTTTTCCACTTGTTATAACTCAGTTTGGTTGAACGGTTGATTTCAGAATGGAAACAGCTTTTAAAATTTTAAAAACATTATAAAATAACGGATTCTATCAATGAAATAATGTATGAATGAAACAGTTCGCAGAATGTACAAAATAAAATAACTGAAGGTTATAGTGGAATTGTTTCATATTTGCTTTCTGCTCAAATAAAGCAAATGACCAAATTCAGTGTTTTTTTTTCGCCAATGCTCTTTAACGCATTCACCTCAAAACATAAACCCTAAACTTCCCTCGATCTTTCAACAATAGATGCTGATTTAGAAAAAAATTCAGAGATGTATCTTACAATTCAGAATATACTTATTGCCATCCATCATGGAGATTTTAGAAGTTTCTTTATCGCGTAAATATTTCCGTGTTTCATCAGATGAGTCGTATTTTTCTTAAGTGAAATGGTGAATTCGGCAAAACAGTGAATGACTGGCAGAATTGGAATGTTGTGTAAGTTTATACAACATTATTGTGATGGTGTTCAAATCACATTTCCAACTGATCGAATGGTAATAATTTAGTGGTCAACCAGATGTGCCGCGTCGCCCCATTTCTCACTGATCCACTTGATTGTCCTGACGGGTAATTGTGGTCCAATCAGAGGATTGAGTTGATGCAGATAAACTAATATCCAAAACAACCAACAGCACGCTGCTGTTAATATGATCATTGTTTGTATTATACCTGAAATTCACATTTCTTACCGAACGATTTAATCTTCTCAAGTTCATTTCCAAGCAGCAGTGGCTTCGAAGAGACCACTGAAAATAATTTAATGTAGCGGTTATCAAAAAATAATGACTCTGTGACCAAAACACGATTTCATGCTCGATTTTTACTTCAAATCTGATCCAAACAGCATGAGTTTATGGAATGCCTTCTTTGACGCACACCTCGACAGATTAACATAGCGAGTGAATGGCTGTTAATCAAGCCATAAATAAGCAAAACCTCAATCGTTTGCTGCGTTTACCTTTATTTGGACCTTTCGGCACCACGAAAGGACCTCCAGCTCCGATTACCAACCAAAACGCTGACACGGCTGCCAGTGGTATCACAATACTCATCGTTCAAAGGAATATCTGAAGATTTCTCACAACGATTCTATTGCTCGGGAAGAATTCTATTGCATACAAAGATTCTATTCCATTGTTCAAGAGGAATAGCTAAATAAAATTTCCAAAAAAAACCCCAACAGATTGATTTAGATTACTGGACTTGGGAACGCACTTAAAAGGATAGCTTTGATATCTATGCACAAAAAATCCTAAAATGAATTCGTCTAGTCAACTGTTGAAAAAAAAAGTGACAGAATCTTCCTCAGCAAGGAAATGAACTCAAGCAAAACGTTTCAACTGATCAGAATAGCTGCA